TGATATTATTTCTTATTGACTGTTTGGTATGTTGTATTAATCCTGAGATTGTCAATTTTACTGCTTTATCATGTGATAACTTATCATGGGATTACTATTCTACCCTCTGGCAGATATAAGTTATTCCGGTACTATTTTAAATTTAGGGATAACTTATCCCAAAATTAATAACCAAATAACCAAACAAGGGATAATGCGATACTAAATTTTTATTCCAGAATTATTTTTACTTATCCATCATATTAAACGACCCAATAATGTTATATTCCTACAATCAATGGCGGAAAACCTACTACCTACAATAATTTTTGAAATTACACTAGAATATTCCCTTATGTTAAGAAGAATCAATAATTTTATATATAACACAAAAAAAGTTTCTTGTCACGACTCAAAATCCCAATCTGTCGTGATGGCGCCTATCTCGATACTAGGCAAGCCGAAAATCTCAATAAACCATAATTTCTCTTAAGTTTGAAAATATAATATTTAAATACAGTACGAAATCCCATAAATACTGATACGAACACTCCCAAAAGCCTGGTGTCACTGAGTACATGAGCATCTAATATGAATATAAATCTGAAAAATACGGTCTATAATAGTCTAAAATACAGTAAACAAGGAGATAGGGAAAGAGAGACAAGGTCTCCGAAACACGACAGTTACCTCTGAATCTTCAGAAAATTAACTGTGCGAGAAAATCAATACCTGCTATGTCCAGAAGCACCTGGATCTGCACACGAAGTGTAGGGTATAGTATGAGTACAACCAACTCAGCAAGTAACAATAATAAATAAGGAATTGAAGATAGTGACGAGTTTCACAGTTATAGTTCACTTTCAGTAATTCCAGTAAAGAATAGACATGCTTTCAAATCTAGCAGTTTAAGTCAAATGAATTTTATACAATTCAAGTTCATGTAATCCGGATATAAAATCCTTCAGAGAATTTCACAACAATAAAAGATAGCAACTAAGTGCAATAACAAATGAAAAGTAAGTACAGCCTCTCAGGGCAACAGTCACTCAACTCGTTACAACAGCTCAACCGCTCGGCTCTCAGCCCTCAGCACTCACACTCAATGGGTACCAGCGCTTACTGGGGGTGTACAGACTCCGGAGGTGCTCCTACAGCCCAAGCTCCATAATCCGCAAAGATAACTTACGTGCTGCACGGACAACTCACGTGCTGCACGGACAACTCACATGCTGCATGGCCAACTCACGTGCTATAATATCCTGTACGGCCAACTCACATGCTATAATATCCTTACCTCACCGACAGGCCCTCGGCCTTACTTAGTCCTTAACCTCTCTAGTCGCTCGGGCTCTCAGAAATCACAAAGATCATCCCAAACAAAGATAAGATAGTGTATCAACAAATATCAAGAAAGACTGAGGTATGACACGTAAGAAAAATCATGACTGATATAAGACAATAATTAGCAAATAATTCAACAAGTACGCGACCTCTGCGAGTTCCAATAGTACTATCACATAGCCTAAGTATGATTTTTAATATGATTTACAGTCAAATTTCTTCAACACATATAGAGCATATAGCTAACAATAAATTATTCAACTATACAGTTTCCACGGGACGGATCAAGTCACAATCCCCTCGGTGCACGCCCACTCGCCTGTCACCTAGCATGTGCATCACCTCCAAAATATTTGCATGACACAAAATTCTGAGGTTTCATACCCTCAAGATCAAATTTAAAACTGTTACTTACTTCAAACTGTGTAATTCTTTATTCCGCTACGCCCTTGCCACAAGAATTGGTCTCCGAAAGCCTCGTATCTAGCCATTATTAATTCGATTCAGTCAATACCAATTATTGTAATTAATTCTATAAGGAAATACTAATTTTTTCAATAAAATTTGAAATTAACTCAAAACTCGCCCGTGGGCCTCACGTCTCAGAACCCGACAAAAGTTATAAAATATGAACGTCCATCCAACCACAAGTCCAACACACCAAATTTCGACATCAACTCGACCCTCAAATCTTCAATTAAAGTCTTTGAAGATTTCTACCATCTTCAACCCAATCTTTACCCATTTGAACTCAATAATCCTTCCATAAACCTTATTGGTATGTGTATGTATAAACAATACTCTAACACCAAAGAATCATACTTTTAATTACCCATCTTTACTCCAAACTCGAAATTGAAGAATTGGGGAAAGAAATTCTTACCTCTTTGAATCCCTAGCAAGATCCTTGTGAAATCTTCAACCCTTGAATAAGAATTGATGGATAAATGACTAAATCTTCACTTTCTCTTTCTAAAATGCTCTCACCTCTCTCTAAAATGTCAGATTTTTGGCTCAAAAATGAGCTTCAAGGGCTATAAATCGAAGTTGGGTCGGGTCAAAAATTAGAAAGAATGAAAGCTCCGACACAGTTATGCGATCGCATAACACATATGCGGTCCGCATAACGGCCGCATAATTTGGCCTCCAAAATTGGGCGTGACTGACCCGGTCTGCGGTCATTATGCGGCCCGCATACCTGTTCTACGGTTGCATAATGCACCGCAGAACAAGTCCGCGGTCGCATAATGCACCGTAGAACAGGTCTGCGGTCGCATAGTGCACCGCAGATTTTTTTCAAATCTTGCCCCTCTCCTGATCCACTCTGCGACCATTATGCGGTCCGCAGAGTGATTCTGCGACCGCATGGTGGTCGCAGAAATGACCCTTTTTCCGGCAAAAAATTTTCTTTACACATCGGTGCATTGTTCAACCCAAAAAATCCGAACCGCGGCGAGTTTGCGAGCCGCGAGAAATTTCTATAACCTTTGTACTAATTGATATACCTCGGCACCACAAAACCTTAATTTCCTTAGCAAAAATTCTCCGGGGTCGTTACACATAAGTCAATATCTGGCCAACCTTTTCAACTTAAATTCTAAACCTTTGAACTAAATGTTCCAAATCATTCCAAAACCTCACCGGACCCGAACCAATTACCCCGGCAAGCTCAATAATAACCGTAAATCACACTTTGAGCAGTAAATGAAGGAACGAGATTGCAATAGTCAAAACGAACGGCTGAATCGTTATATTTATTTTGCCTTATTTGACCGTGTAATTTTTCGGCGTAGAAGATTGTTCAATTGAACCTTCTCCCTTTAGCTCCGCTCTGGTAAAAATATTAAGCAAAACCAATGATGGCGAAAAGAGTTTCAGGATTAGAGCATATTATATTGATACGTAATTATGCAAATAATGTGTATCAGAACGCGGTATTCTGAATTAACTAGCACTTATTTTTCTTTGCATGCGTATCTTTCCATATCATGCCAATTGCCAACAGCTTGTACATTGCATATTACTCGGTACGTTCACTAATTTGGTATGTCAAAAATATTAATTACAACATGAACTAGTTCTTAACTGCTTAAACTTAAAGATTCGATTTTAAATGCTAGCATGTGAAAGAATAAACTTAATGGTGATACCACAAATCCCCGTAAATTTGTTAGTTAAAGGGAGTTAAATGCTTCTAGTTTTAAAAAAGAAAAGTTGAAAATTAGAGGAGTCATATCATCTACAAGATACGTGCACATGGAAGGAAGAATGTCTAATTTTGCTGAAGTTGTTTAATGATTCCCATAAATTATAATTGCCAAATAATACACTGCTTAACAACAATTATAAAGATTCTGTCTCTCAAAAATCGACTGATGATTTCCAACGGTATTAAATCAAAATGATATTCCTAGGAATACTTATACTTTTTGATTTCGCAAATTGTCGCAGTTTCTCAGTAGTCGGAATTAGTAGATCCGTTGAAATTTTGCAATCTATGCAGAAATCAATGTATATTACATAAGTATTATAACTGTATACTCTCTCCGTTTCAATTTATGTGAACTCATTTGATTGGGCACAGAGTTTAGGAAAAGAGAAAAGACTTTTGAACTTGTAGTGTAAAATGAGGCACATATATTTTGTGTGGCTATAAATCATTGCATAAAGGTAAATTGTTTCCAAATAAGGAAAGAAGACATTCTTTTTGGCACGGAGTAAAAAGAAAATATGTTCACATAAATTGAAAAGGAGGGAATATTAAAATGGATATGTCAACTTGACGAGGATATGCGAGTGCAGTTTGGCTCTTAAATCAATTATCCATTTGACACAAGAACATAATGATTTTGTGACTAAAACATACCAAAGGGATAGTTCAATGTTGATAAATAACTCTATTCGAATATATAGCATAGGAATACTTTTTTAAACGTAACTTTGAAAGTACGTGCATCCGCAACTCTAAGCCTGGTTAAAATCCAATGTTATAAGAAAAAAGAATTCAATAGGCATCTAAATATCCATTTTCATAAATGGATAAGAGATTAGCGAAAGTATGACCATATCTCTGCTTCCCCTCTATTTGAGAAAGATATCTCAGGTATTAGACTATCAGGTCTTCACATAATAGGTTGAAAAAACTCCTAATTAGGAAGAAACTAACTATTTGTGCGCCAAACGAGATTATATATGATGCAAGTTAGCAGATACTTACAAAACTATTTTTTACTCTACAATATGATGATTTTGACCCTCCACTTCTAGAAAAAGAGGCCGTTAAAGGAAATAACCAAATATTAAAATTTCATGAGTATCATCTACGCCTATGTTAGTCCACTTAAAAATTAAAATAATAGCACTACGTATATGATGTATCCCACCACATAAGTCCTTGTGTATATATGAAATACAAATGGAAACCCTACAATCAGGAAGATCACATGGCATGTTTTCTTGTTAACAACATCAAACGGTCACAATTAAATTCCAAAAAATTATCTAAAATCAAAAACCTTAGGATTACTCCAATAGAAAATTCGGAAGTTGCCGAGCTTTATTAGGGTTATAGGTAACATATTGTTCCCCACCATTGTATCTCATGTGACCGACCATTAAGCTTACTTGACCTGGCATTGCTCCTTATATGTCTTCTCTTCTTTACATAATTCTATAAAAAACTACGTACAAACCTACTCATCAAACAACAAGTTTCACTCTTCAAAATCTTTCTTTTATATATTAATCAATCAACTACACCTCAACCGAAAGAAGATTACGTACGTATAACACAAGAAATGGCAACTGAATTCGAAATTACGGAGCTAAGATTAGGGCTTCCAGGGGAAAAACCTAGCTCATTTGGGAAGAAAAGGGCGTTTTTTGAAATCGACGACGATAGCAAAAGCAGCAACAACGATAACACAAAGTGTCAAAACAAAAACCAAGTTGTAGGGTGGCCGCCGGTTTGTGCTTATAGGAGGAAGAATAGCTTTAATGGACGTGAATCGTCCTCTAAAATGTACGTCAAAGTTAGTATGGATGGAGCCCCGTTTCTTCGAAAACTTGATTTGAACACTCACAAAGGATATTCTGAACTTGTCATGGCTCTTGAGAAGCTCTTTGATTGTTATGGAATTGGTAAGTGCTCTCTCAATTAATCCTTCATTTTTCTAAGTACTATAGTTTGCTTTTCATATTTTGCGGTAATTTTGGCATAACTGGTAAAGTTGCTGCCATGTGACCAGGTGGTCACGGTTTCGAGCCGTGAAAACAGCTTCTTGCAGAAATGCAGAGTAAGACTGCGTACAATAGACCATTGTGGTCCGGCCCTTCCCCGGATCCCGCGCATAGCGGAAACTTAGTGCAACGGACTATACCCTTTATGAGATTTGCCATGCAAAAAATTGTTAATATCTAAATTCATACAAAATAAATTAATTTGATCCTTGTAATCTGAATAACTTTACCACATAATATGAAATGGAAGGAGTACTAGAAAAAAAGTTTAGAAATAAAGAAGACAGAATAATAAGATGCCAAATTTTTGACAGGCAAAGCGTTGGAGGATGCAGAGAGTTCAGAGTACGTACCAATATATGAGGACAAAGATGGGGACTGGATGCTTGTGGGCGATGTTCCCTGGGAGTAAGTTCACTTCTCTACCTCTCTTCATAATCATAACTTTGAGCGGTGTCATATAAATTGAAATAGATGGAGTAATATTTAGTTTAAATTCATTATCTGTCTTTTATTTTTTTATATCGATCTTATAAGAAATATATGATTTGCTAGCTCTATTTTTTCGAATACATATTTGTCTAAATCATCGTTTATTTGTCCTTGAACATCTAAATTAATTAGCACTTATAATGAAATAGTAATGATAGATTTGATACAAAACCATAAATGACTTCTAAATTAGATAAAGAGAAAAGAACTTGAAAAAAACAAAATGCCCACAAGGAGAATACCAGATTGAGCTAAACATTATCACAATTAAAGCTTTTTGGACCACGTTGTTTTAGACAACTGGATTATCTTGAAGTGAAAGACTAGTTTCCCACACTGTCTTTACACTCTGTAACTACTAGCTAAGTTTATTGGAACGAATTTACAATTTTAAGTCGAAATTTAAGCCGATAAATGTGAAGCATCACGATATCAATATTACCTTTTGACAATGTGTGTGAATTACTTTATAAAAACTAAATTTCTTTCAAAGAATTATTTAATTATATGTATAGTTTAAGTTGAGAGCAGTAAGAGGGAAATGTACCAGCTACCCCCGATGTTGCATTTGCCCTTGCCTTGAATTATTTCTTACTTGTATAAGAAAAACAAAAATAAGCCTTTAAACTAATTTCTTCTTCCTTTTCTATTTTCCTTTTTTTTTTGGATAAAAAAATCCTCATATTTTCGCGTTTAATTGGTGGGACAAAATAAGCAGAAGAACTAATGAATTTAACTCTTATGATTTGCAGAATGTTTACTGAGTCATGTAAAAGGCTAAGAATTAAGAAGAAATCGGATGCAAATGTGTTAGGACTTCGAGCTAAGAACTTCCTCAAAGGGAGTGTATAAAGAGAAATGAAAAGCATATGCCCAATTGCAAGTCCAAATTATGTTTGTAATTTTTTTGCCTAAGATCTTGGCATAAGATGTAACTGTAATTTCAGGTGTATAATTAGGATACGCTAGACATGAATGTAATAATTTCATCTAAACTAGGTTTTTTCTAAGATGTCAATCATATTATCGTGTCTAATACGACTATATATGTCCTATGTTTAATTAAGTTATCTGCTAAAATTGTGGCTAGCAGATACTTCATTACGGTTACCCATATCTAAATATTTTCCTAATTTTGTAGTATTTCATTATTATTGCTAATTATTCTTATCTGTTTCTTCATTTGGGCTTAGCATACATGGTATTAATAATAATTATTTGGAGTAGGTCAATTTATTCGATATCATATTATGATAAAGATTATATTCTACCAGTAGTATTAATCTACATTATGTACACAGCACTCATCAGATAAGAAATTAGCATTCTTATCTGCTTTGCAATTAACATTTACGCTCTTCTTTTAGCAGCAATTGTTTCACTGATCAAGCTTATCTTTTTAACTAACCGATAGCTGAGTTGTTATTGTAGAGTTGAACCCAGGCACAAGAAGGGGATGGGGAATTGTATCTTGTTTGATTTTCGATTGTTGAAGAATCTAGTTCTTTCATTTGAATATTTCGGAACGAAGCAATTTTACGCGAAAATCTCATTGTTCAAAATTTCACGGGAGTAAACCACGACTTACCCGTGTAGGATTTTCCTCAAAACTTCACTAATAATAAGATCGGTTTTAGGTTAACTCTATAACAGAAGGGACTATAAACTCTAGTACTTAACCCACACAATCAACTCGATTTTAGTTTACAAACTCTATAACCAAAGGCCCTACAATCAACTCTCGGTTGTAGCTCAAATTTCAAGACCATAAACTCTAAGCCTAGAAAGCAAAATAAATCCCCCAGAATTTGATACTGTTGGGTGTGCGAATAATGTCCCACATTGGTAGCTAAAAGATTGGGAGCCTACATATATAAGGTGTAAGGATCTTTTTATAGTATGAGGTCTTTTGAGAAAAATCGTATGGAGTTTGCCCAAAGTGGATAATATCACACCATATTAAGAGTATCTACGGACTGTTTTAGTCCAACAAATAACCTTCAAATACACGTCTCAAAAGCAAAATAGATTACAATTTAAGATCAATGAATCAAGACTCAACAACTAAAGAACTTAACAACATTGTCTTAAAGGATCATGTTCTTCAGTTGTGCTGCAATTTAATTTTTGCTCCAACAACTAAAATTAATATTCTGGTTAAGAAAAAAAAATCCCAATAAGACTTAGGAAGTTTCCTTAAATATCTCCAACTTCACAATCCCTTTTCCTTTCATGCAAGTGTAACAATTAATGAATCCTTGTTGACCACAAATTTCCTCCCGCTGATATGATACTTGTAGTCTACGAAATAAATCCTTTAAGCAATGCTAATTGCATTAGGAATTAGTTTTCAGCTCCTGAACAACGGACTCATCTTCAAGAGATCTAGTGGCATGCATGTTTGCCTTTTGAAGATCATTATTCCTGGAGATTCCAAAATATTTTAGTCTGACTACTGATAAAGGTTTATAGTTATGCATCATACACTCCAGGGGGTTTTACTTTTGAAAGATTCTAAAGGTGCGTAATAATTTTGAATAATATTGAGATACTGAGTTATAGGAGTAATGACATTATAGTAAGCATCTGTCATTATTCAAAACTTTTGCACTATACAAACGGTCCTTCCCGAGACCTTGCATGAACGCGAGATGCTTTTTGCACCGGGCTGTCCTGAATGGCAAGCGCCGCTTGCATTTTAAACGAGAAGTTGCGCTGCTTAAAGCCCTTCAATTCAATTATTAAGAAGAATAAATATGTGACTCTGTTGCCAATGACTAGCTTCCCAGAGAACCAGCTAATACTAAATGTACCACCAAAAAATCACGAAACCATTCCACTATTTACGAGTTGTTTCAAACCTTTTCTAAGCCTTTCTGAAGCGCGCAACTCGACAGTCCTCTTTGATCAACCCACCCAACGAGATCCTAACATAACCTGGACAACCACTGGAACTTCCAGGGATTAGGACTACGCCGTACGTACCTCTTTGCTAGCCAGGGTTAAGAAACTAGCCAAAGACGTGCAAGTAAAATTGAAGGAGTCAATAAGCAATGAAACGTGATTGTGAAAACCAAAGAAATTTCATCACAAAACTAATTCAACTTTAATGTTTTTTTACCAATCCTATATTATTTCACAGCATTTCTCACAATAGAATTTCAAACTATTTACTCCAACCATCTTAAGTGCATGGGCAGAAGAGAATAAGTTGACTATGTGGTTTCCTTCTATGCAAACATGTTGTCGACCATCATACATGAAATACCTGCAAAAGACTAACAACATGTATATAAGAATGTATCATCCAGGATGAGTAGCAAAAGGACAACCAAAATCTACTGAACAAGGCTATGGGAAAAAGAAAATAACAGAAAATTCTCGATAGAATATTTTAAAATTCCAAAGTAAGAATAAAGACTCAAAAGCAATGTGTATCCGTTAGACTTGCAAAGCCAGCTTCCAGCCTTATTTTCCATTTATTAACTGAGAATTGATAGCAAAAATTAGCTAATAAACACTTTTAGAGATCCTCAAGTTATTGCAAAGAGAAATAGTTGACAACTAGAATCCGAAAATAAATCCCTACTAAGTTGCTCGGACACGGGTGCGGGTATCCAACACGGGTGTGGATCTAGAGGTCGGATCTTTCGAGATGTAAATTCTAAGATTCGGGGATACAGATCCTAGTACGGATACGGTTGCGGAGATCCGGCTAAAAATAATTCAAAAAAATAAAAATATAAATACCTCTAAATTATGAAATTTTTTGTGGAATACTTACGTATTAGCTTGTAAAGTGAGGATTTATTTTTATTCTCAAGATGTAGATAAGTAATGTATTGATTTCCTAGATAAGGTATGTTATTTTCTTCAAATTTATCCTAGTTTTGGTTCTGATTTCGGGAATCAAATTGTATCTGGTCTCGAATTTTTCTATCTGTCGTTGTCAAAGTACCCAAAATCGTTTGATCATATCCGGTATAAATTCCATACCCACACCTACACTGGTGTCATATCGACACGGGTACGGCACCTAAAATGCCATGTCGGAGCAACATAGAATCCCTATATCTCCTAACAAATTCAGAACCTGGGCATTCACTTATTTCATCTGTTTCTCTTTTCCCCTCCTAATAGGTTATATGTGCATCCCTATTATATTTTGATGATCTAATAAACTTACTGTTAAGAACCAGATAAGGAACCTGTTACACATCCTCAAGAACTCAAGATCAACAAGTCTCCAGTTGGGAACACTATTCAACTCTTGAGAGTCAAAGGAACAGCAGAGGGAACAGGCCGCTACCAGCTCCCGAGGTGACAGTACAAAGTCAACTTCACAGTTGTAAAGTTGCTGCCTGCACACGCTACAATATATAAACAGTGCAGCGGTTAACTTTATCGGGAATGCCCTTTACCTAACTTGCTTGCATCATCCAAGTGATGTCACAAATGAGATATTAACATCAAGCAAAGGAAAAACAAATTACTTGCACATTCAAGAACTCATCAAGCATTCTCTCAAGTCTGTGTCAATCCTGCAAGTGACCCTCAAGGGCATCAAGAACGAAGAGCAACATAACCAAGGACCAGTTCCATGTATTGAAGTTATTACATGTCCTTAGTTATATTTTACCTTTGTTAAAGCACTCTACTTGTAATTCCTACTTAGCTTAGAAGAAAGCATTGTGTAGGAAATCTTTGTAAATCATAAACCCTTGTGTTTGTGTCTTGGCTAGAGTTAGTCGAGTTGTAAAGTCTTTGTAATATAGTTATTACAAAATGGCTTGTAATAGAGTGTTATAAGTTAGTAAGGGATTAAGAGGTTAATTTCTAGGTTTAACGTCTTTGTAATAGAGTTATTACAAAGTGGCTTGTAATAAAGTATTATAAGTTGGTGAGGGATTAAGAGGTTAATTACTAGGTTACAATAGGTTGTAATCTAAAGTTGTTCAGTAGTGAAGTTGAAATCCTACAAGGGTAGGTCATGGTTTTTAATCCCATTGAGTCGGGAATTTTCCACATAAAACTCCATTATGCCATTTACTTACTGTAGTGTACGTGCGTTCTGTGGGAACTAATAGAGAATCTGATTCTCTATATAGTTTGGTGGACCCTTAAATTCTATCAATTGGTATCAGAGCAGGTTCTTTCTATCAGACTAACACCTAGAAAGGATCCTCATGACTGCTCCACCAAACTTTGAAGAAGGTCAGTCTACTTACAGGCCACATAGGTTCAATGGTCAATACTATGGGTGATGGAAGACAAGTATGCACGACTTCATCATGGCTGAAGACTTCGAGCTATGGGGCGTTATCTGTGATGGTCCCTTTGTCCCTACAAAGAAGGTTGGAGATCCAACTGTGATAGTTCCTATGACAAGAAAGGAGTTCAATGATGCTGATCGAAAAGCCATTGAGAAAAATTTTCTTGCTAAGAAAATTCTGGTTTGTGGACTAAGTCCTGATGAATACAACAGGATATCTGCCTGTCAATCTGCAAAAGAAATATGGGAAGCTCTACAGACTGCTCATGAGGGAACCAGTCAAGTGAAGCAATCCAAGATTGGCATGCTCACCACTGAATATGAGCTCTTCATAATGAAGGACGATGAATCCATTCAAGATATGCATACTCGATTCACTTCTATCATCAATGAGTTGCACTCTTTTGGTGAAATCATTCCCAGAAACAAGCTTGTGAGAAACATCCTCAGCGTGCTGCCCAGCTCTTGGGAAAGTAAGGTAAATGCTATTACAGAAGCAAAAGATCTGCAGAAGTTGACCATGGACGAACTTGTTGGCAATCTAAAGACTTATAAACTGAAGAAGAAGAAGAAGGACAATGAGAGAAGAGAGCCAAAAAGGGAGAAGAACCTAGTTCCCAAGACGGACAACAATGACTCAGGTAGTGAGGATGCTGATATGGCCTACCTGACAAAAAGGTTTCAGAAAATGGTTCACATAAATTGAGGCATTCCAAAAGGGGGCAGCTCCAGCAAGCCAAAAGGTTATGACCTATGTCATAAGTGCGGCAAACCAGGACACTTCATCAAGAATTTTCCTCTTCTCAATCAAGATCAATACAAACACAACACTAACAAAGCAACCAAGAGGAACCAGGTTCC